GACGGCACTACAAGATATGCTTTGTTGGCCAGAAACGTGTCGGACTGCTACTATGAACGGACGATAAAAAAATTACAGCACCTACAACTGGTAGTTGTATATCTAAGCACACGTTATTTTATTAACTTGATCAAGGGCCGCCAGACAACTTTGCATATTGGAACATTGCCGTACTACCCTCAATACAACGGAATGGTCCAACACTTCTATAGAACACTTGAGAAAACGTAACAGGCAGAAGTCCGTGTATTGGAACATAAAATTGCCTATGACTTTACTCGCTCTATGAAGTATAGTCAAAGAGATCATTATCAATAACCCGGTTAAAATGATGTATGGCACGATACTTCGGCTGTCCGGTGAACTTTTTCATCCTGCTCCGCTCACCACAAGATGTCTTAGAATCACTACAACTAGCCGTGTCATAGTTGCGAACGACTAGTACACTACGAACCGTTTTGTTTTAGTGACAGCGTCGTTATCAAATGTTAGTCATGTTTGACACATTGACAACGTATAGCCACCAGCCTAATGTTGCTAAGTCTTATATGTTAATATCAAGTAGGTACCCAAAAGAGCTACAGATCAAATCGTTGAGAGTGTGATACAATTTATTTATAGTTCATTATATGAAAATAAAATATGCACAATTGTCTATGTAAACCTAGATAAAGCATTTGAAAATATTGACACACAGTTTATAAATTAAAAAAATAAAATAAGGGAGAGCGATTTAACATATTTTTCTTCATAGTTAAATAACATAAAACAACATGTTAAAATAAACGAGTGTATTAATTCTTTGAACTCATAAAATGCTAATACTGAGACATTGTTCGTTGACTCTCGTTTTAAGCTAAATTTTATTAAAAAATACCTGAACCAGATTGAGCTATGATACCATCTTTATTGTGCTTCTTTTTTTTTGAAACGCAGCATGTGAATACTCTTAGGTACCGACGATAGAAGTTCTTCATCTTCAACGTATCAAAATACCTTTTTAAATTTATTGTGGTTTTCAGTAATTAAGTTTAAGCACAAAAATTAGTTTTTTTCACGAAAATTTAATAACAAGCTAATATATATTTGTGTAGTAATATTGAGTATCACATGGCAACTTATATTATACTATTTTTATGATTTTAAGGCATTTAAATAATTGCATTAAACTCAAAGATTTTCAAATATAACATAAAAGACCTCTATTCATAATATACAATTTGTTTACAAAATGACATAAAATATGATTTCCTTAATTTCGATAACTATTTAAATAATTTAAATTGTTAAACTAATATTTAATAATTAGTTACTAACATACAAAAAATGTCATGTGAAGTTATAAAATATCACTTGATTTAATTAATCATTAGAAATAGATAATTAGAATTATAGTTCATGTTAAGCTTTTCTTAAGTGCGATGTTGTATAAATTTCAATTAAAATCTGCATCTGCTGGAAACCTCTCCTTTCTATGTTTAGAAGGGAGAGGTTCATAGGGCTTATTTCATAAGTTAATATAAGATTTTATTAAAGATATAAATTCTTCTTACATTTGATGATTTCACTTTTTTTAATTGAATTTTTTATTATTTATCATTCGTATACTCTGCCTTAGATTATAATATGAGTTTGAAGTTCTAAAAGTCTTATCAAAAATAAAATTTTGTGTAATACAATTTAAAAATACTATTTGTATGAAAGAAAATTGTAATTAATTCACCTATTTATTTTTTATTATATTATGAAATCAGAGACCTATTATTTAGAATCCATTTTAATCGGAGGAAGTTTTTTATACTTTGGTAAGCATGTTAGTGAAAATTTTGTTACTAAAAAGCAAAATGGATGAACTAAAAATAATAATAGCTTAATATTCTAAGAAGGATAGTTTCTCCTCCTTTAATACGCCTTTATGGATATCCAAATATTATAATATCAAATATCATAATGACAAATCCATTAATTATTCCAATTGTTTGTCAGTGTGCTCAAATATTATGAAAATTACTTGTTTAATTATATAAAAATATGTTTAAAAAGAGAGAAATTAAACNTAATACGCCTTTATGGATATCCAAATATTATAATATCAAATATCATAATGACAAATCCATTAATTATTCTAATTGTTTGTCAGTGTGCTCAAATATTATGAAAATTACTTGTTTAATTATATAAAAATATGTTTAAAAAGAGAGAAATTAAACTAAATCAATAACGTATAGAGGAGGTTCAAGGTTAACTGCCCACCATCATTAGCTAACTTTTTAATGTCATATTCTTTAGTTACAAGTCATAAATAAAATTGTATTTATTGATTTGTATTCAACATGTTTACTCAACCCTCTTGGATAACATAGTTTTAGTATTAAACAGGGACTGGAAGGAACCTAAAAAAAAGGTTTTTTAACCGAAACCTTAAAAAATTTTAGAACCCGAACTGGAACAGGACTTTTTATTTTCAGATAGCCACGAACTAGAACTCAACCGGAACCTTTAATAATAAGGTGCTTAAACGGTTCTTTGTTTTCAAGCATTATTTTATTCATATAATTTTTAACAGTTTTATTTTTTTGATAACGGGTAGGGATTGTAAGGTTTTTTTATAAGAATTAGTAAAAGCTTTATTATAGTTTGTAAAATCGAAGTTTATAAACTATTCAAGAGTTATTAAATGTTTGTTATTCACAATATATTAAATTCAGTGTTGGGAAAGTTCCTTTTTAAATGGAACTCGTTCCGTTCCCCGTTCATTTTCTAAAATATGAACTCGTTCCAGATCCTAGTTCTTTATATTAAGAAGGAACTTGTTCCAGATCCAGTTCCTCCAAATAAGAACTCGTTCCACTCTTCGTTCCTTTTATGTAACCAAGTTATTTAAAAAATTGTGGTAATGAGATCATGATAACGGTCATCAATGATTTTCATCAGCAGTCGAATACAAAACAAATTTGTAGTATTCCTTATTTAAAAGTATTCGAAAATTATATTTATAAGCAGGTAGTAAATGCTAACGACTTGTGTCAACGCGACCAATGTCTATTGTCTACATATAAATTAGAAATAATAAATCAGAAAACCCAAAACCCATAACATACAGGGTGTTCAGTAAGTCAGGAAACTGGTTTCTATTGTTCTCATTGTTTGTAACAATGAGAACAATAGAAACCCGTTTCCTGACTTACTGAACACCCTGTATGTACACATATATTAAATATTTACTGTATACCTACATGTGATAATAACTCTATTTATAGTCAATTGATTCATTTAAAAAGCCTACGATCTCGGCTGGGTATATAGGGGACTTCCATTGTCAAAAGTCAACTAAAAATACCTTAATATTTTAATGTCTAGATACGAAGAAAACTACACTAAAACATGTTTATAAAAAATTTTAGGAACTGTAATTTCCGTTCACGTTCCTTAAAAAATGGAATTTGTTCATTTTCCTCGTTCCTTTATTTTAAAAGGAAGCAGTTCCTAGCATCGTTCCTTCAAAAAGAACTCGTTCCAGGAATCCGTTCCTTTTGGAACCAGTTCCTTCTCAACACTGATTAAATTTCTATTTCTAAAATGAAATAATCTTATTTAAAACATAAAACACAGAATTATTGGCTATTTTTTTACTATAGGTTTCTAAATTATTATTTAATAATTTAGAGTATTATAGTCATAAATAGAAGTTATAGTAACATTTATAGATATTTAAATCCTATATCTGCTATATTCTAAGACTTTTAAGTAATTTTAATTAAATTTAAAAATTTGGATGGAACTTTGATTCCGTAATAACCACAAAGACAAGTCCAGAGGTCAAATTTATTTTTTTCAAATTAAAGTATATTACACGAGCTTTAATTTAAGGTATATATAAAAATATAAGTATTTACGGAACATTTTCAAAAGTTCTACTTTCTATACGCATTTTTAAAGTTTTGAATCCCCTATGTTTTCTTCTTCCTTGCCTTAATCCGAACTACTTGGGTTTGGCCACCCTTATCATAAACTTCCACTTGACACACCATCACCCACATCATATACATGTTCTCACTTATTTATTATTATTATCGTAAGTAATGGATATGATAACAATAATTGCCGTTAATAACTTGTTTATGTGACATCATAAAGAAATGACAATTACTGTAAGCTAAAGAGCAAATTATTATTAGAAATTTGGTCCAAAATTGCTAAATTTNACTGTAAGCTAAAGAGCAAATTATTATTAGAAATTTGGTCCAAAATTGCTAAATTTTAAGAAGCAATAACAGTAGATTAGTTAAAAAATATTATTAGAACAAAATTGATTACTATTTACTTCAGATTTATAATCCTGAAGGAATGAAAAATAATTACTTATTACAAAATAACTACATATTATACAATTTTTTCTCTTACGAAAATTAAAAATGTTTAATAGTTTCCAAGAAAATGAGTTTTCTATCCTTAATTAATCACTGTCTATATAATATCAACGATATTATATATAATACTTTTATAAATTAAATTTATTATTATTATATTATTAATAAGTTAATCTTTTTCTTTCTTCTTTATCCTCGGCTTATAATTCCAACTACTTGGGTCGGTCACCCTTATCCTAAACTTCCACTTGACATGATCCCCCACATCATCTACGCTCACATCAGCTATCCTCATATCTCATTCAATAGCATCCCTCCATCTCTTTTTTGAAAGTTCCTCTACCTCTTCTTCCTTCAACATTCATTTCTATAACTATTCTTATGGCTTCCGATTCTTCTCTCCTCATAACGTGATCAAACCATCTAAGTCTATACTATTAGTATAGCACTATAATTAAAACTACTTTTAATTTATATTAATATTTAGTTGTTATCAAGCATGTATACAAGGGCTTAGGAGTAATGCCCCTCTTTTTCAGTGTGATCTCATTATTCTCTCAAATAATATAAAAATTTAGCTTAATAAATTATAAATATCCTCTTGCTGAAAACCATTAATACAAAAGTAAAATTGTGTGCTTATTATTTATTTTTAATTTAATACAAAATGTTATACATATAATTATATAAATAACAATTGGACTTAAAAATTTAGAACAAATAATCTATACTATTAGTTGAATTTAAAAGTCCATCTTTGCATCTGGAAACAAAAGAATATACACAATAATATTAAACAATTTTTCTATTTTAATTTATAGTTAATAAGATAATAAGTTTCAAATACCACTGATCTTAATTTTATTTCCTTTCCACGAGTTTTCTAGATTTCTTAAAAATTCTTCAAAAATACTAATGCTTTTTAACATGGACGTCTTTTTGTAATCTTTTAATCTATTAATACTCATGTTAGCATCATTCACAATTTCTTTTTGCTTTTTATCATAATCGTTAATTTCATCAATTAATACACTAAATTAAAAAAGTGTAATATTTAACATTTGATGATTACTACTTTAAGATATAATTTAAGTACTCTGGAAATGTCTTACTTGATTGTTGGTACTGCATTAGGATTAAATTTATCTATTACTTTTGGATTGATAGGAATACAAACTTTTCCTGTTTTTGGGTGTACACAAAATGGTGATTTCAATAAATGATTCAATCCTTTAGTAACATTTACATCTAGTCTGGGATATGCTAAATACAACAAAATATCTTCAACACAAAATTTTGTTTTATAATTCAACAAGCCCTTAAAAAAAAAAGTAATAATTCTTAATCATAGGCAGTTAAATTAAAAAAAAAAATAAACAATAACAGTATCAAATTTACAACTACTTATGTTTATTAAATTTTAATATTTTGATAATATTAAGTTTCAAAAGTTATTCAATTTACAAAATTGAATAAATTAATTATTTTTTTACTGTCTCAAACTAATAACATAAAAATAGTTATATTCTCATTTATGTTTTAAAATTTATCTCTCAAACCTACTTATACTAAACATGTTTCTTATGATTTAAAAACATTTAACTTCTTATGTCTGTTAAAAAAAATTTAATTTAATTTAGATTTCTTTTAGAAAAATCAATATTTAATCATAAAAAAAGAAATATTATCTTTTTAGAACCTATTTTACTATTTACCCTTTTATGATTATTTTGTATAACAAGTGTCAAGGCTTCCCATCTTTGTGGACTATTTTGATACTTTGAAAATTGTATGTTAATTTGCTCTTTCAGTTTTTCATCATTTATAAAAGATAATATTTTGTTACATTGCTCCGAAGTTTCTAAAAAATTCTGTTCTAAGTTAAGATTATCAAATTCTTCATTAATAATGGCAATTGAACGTCTGTTTTAAATTTTAAATAGAATAAAAATACATTATATTTATGATAAAAATAATAATGCAGATATAAATTTACTGTTTTAAATTTCACCTTATAAAAGGATGATTAACATTATAACGTTTTGATTCTCCAGCTGTCAATACACTTAAATAATCAATTACAGCACCGCGTTCCGATGGAGATAACTTCCTTGCAGATTCATCGCAGATCCAACAATGAATACCACGTCTACCAGAAAACACCCATAATAAATGATTCCAACCAAAATCATCACGCAAAGAACATTCTAAAATTTTGACAGCTATTACCATAAATCTAATTTTAAAACAAAACATTTTTAAAAATATAACATACAATTTTTTCTGATTAACAAATGAATAAATTACCTCCAACATTTTTGACAGACATCAGCACCTGAACAACATGTTCTAACAGTATCATAATCAGTCATATCAATATCAATAACAAGTTCCTTTTCCATTGCATGAAATTGAGGATAATTACGGCAAACCTTTGGACTTCAATTAATTGAATGTTAAATAACATTATGTACATAAATGTAGTTTTATTAAGCTAATAATTTTTCAATCAAATTTTCGCTATTATGTAATGTTAAGACGGTTGAATATGTATTATTTTATCATGCCCTTGTAATATGTAAAAACTAATAAATTAAAAAAATTTCACTTTTTTCTTTTCAATCTATTTTAAATTGGATAGTGATATTAAGTTTTAACCTAGCACTATAGTAGGTTAAGTATAACAGTTCAAACTATTTGTGATAGCTTTATTTTTAGTCTAAACTATTAAGTAATTAGAGAAAAAATAAGCCTATTCAAACCTCATATTAAAAACAGCTCCTATGTCTATTTTAAATGGACATCTATTTTGAATTTCTGCTTCAAATTCTTGGAGTGTATTAAAAGATTGAAATCTTATATAAATATCTTCATGCAAGGTAAAAGAAAACTCTCTGTTGGTAAAGTTTTCAGGATTTCCTAAAAAAAAATATGGTCATAATAATTAATATACCAAAATAAAATGTAACATAATAAGAACATTTTACCATTCCCATAAGATAGCCATTTATGAAATTGAGTATAAGGAAAAAGTCTTTTATAATATACATTCAAATAATCAGGAAATTGGTCATTTGCCATTTCGAAAAAAATTAATTTATATTCTTAAACTTTATATTTAAAATTTTATAATAAATTGTATAGAGTACAGTTTTATAACTTTTTATTAGCGAAATTATAAATAATTGTTTAGCATATCAATAAACAAAAATCACTATCGTTAAAACAAGGGATTATTTAAATAGTAATAAATAAATGTATTCAAATACAAGAAAAAATACAAATTATGCTTAATATTCGAATACATTTAAATTTTAGATAAAAATATTCAGAAAACAATGATAGCGAATAATGAAAAGAGCGGGAAAATATGGTTCAAAAGATGGTTATATCATAGATAAGGTAAATTATCTTATCTATGGTTCTATTGAAATTATTAATAGAACTTAAGCTAAACATAATAGATAAAATGAATATTTAATCTATAGACCTTTTATACGAACTATGATAAAATGAACCGGACACGTTACGATCCGGTTTTATTTTACATTTCCTGTAGAATAAAGAAATTTGAAGCAACGGTGCTTGCTATTTTACTTGTAATTTCTTGATTTCCCCATTACGTTTTTACAATTTTATATTTTGAAAACATGTTCTCTGCTCATCAAATATTTCCCCTTTTATGAATTTCCTACCATTGCTTGTTCAGTCCAATTTGTCTTAATTTTTGACCTCATAAAGTAATATTACTGTTAGCCATATACTAATTGTTGTAGTTCTAGCGGTCGCGAGATCAAATAGTTTAGCAAAAACGATAAACTATGCACATGCATAATAAAAATCTAAGTTGTGTGAAACAGTGAAAAGTATGGAGTGATAGTAACAACAGAATATACACAATTGACACTAATAAAAATTAAACAATATAATGTGATTAATTCTATCGGCCATTATGTTGTAGATAAATCAATGTGACCAAATCGCTAAAAAAGTCTTATTACTCATAGATCATAGACAAATATAGATAGGCCATGCCACACATAGTGAAACGAATAATTCATTTTACTATGATGCCGTACACAATTTTGAGTTTAATTTTTAACATGAATGGACGCAGACAATTACGTTGATAGATAGCGTAAATTTCCAGCACATTTCCACATTTCATTGGTTGAGATATACGTGTATTTAAAATTTTTTAATAATCATTAAATTAATGTATATACATTATTAAACAGTGATTGTCATAAACGTTAATTTAATTTTATGACACAATGTAAGGATTTTTTATTATTTTAACTCTTTGTAATTATATTTTCATTGAAATGTTATTTATTTTTTTATTTTAATATTACAATAAGAATTTGTAATAGGATTTTGACATAAAATGTGGTATTACAGTACAAGACTATGCTGTTGGCCTCTAAATATTATTACTATTTTAAACAGAAGGCAGTGGCAGATAAATTATTTTGTCATTAAGAGAAGTCGACAAATCTTTATGATAAAAATCATCATGGGAATTGTGCCCCAATACCGCAGAAGTTTCTTATTTGTATTACTATATCAAGATATATAATAATCACATCTGGTAGTCCATAATAATAAAATATATTATTATAAACTATTAGATGTGCATAAATGGCTTTCTTCTTATTAAGTCCCCTTCAAATATTTAATTTATTTTATGTAAGTATTCCGTTAAATTTATCTACTCAAATGTATATTTTGCTGGGTACCCCAGTAAAAATTGTTAGATAAACTTTTATGTAAATCACATGAAAATAAATTTTTGAGAGGATACAGATCTTTTTAATTGCTAAGTATTTTTAATCTTTTATCAAATATTTCAAACATAAAATCAAGAAACTGGTAAGTTAAAAAAAATAAAATAAATTTTGTAACTAATGCTTAACAGATAATTCATAATTTTTTAAATGAGAAGTCGCATACAACTAAGTTTTAAATTAAATAGTATAAAAAATGAATTATTTCCTACAGTTAATATTTCATAAGAGTGCTTACCACACTTAGAATATTTAATTTGAAATCAAAATTTCATAAAATGGGCTCATGGATAGATTAAACATAAAGTTGTTTCAGAAAACTGAAATCAGTTAAGATCCTCAACACTATAAAATATTAAAAACAAATAATAGTCTAATATAAATTTTATATTAACAAAATTAATAACCTGTTTTATCAAATTCGTATGTAAAACAAAATATTTCATTTAAATCGAATAAGCAATCACTTTTATAATAACTGGTTCTTATCTTAATTTGCACTAAAGGTGTCAGCCGTGCATGAGAGGGTAAATAGCGATTGTCAATAGTCTGATTGTCGAGGTATATCTATGTATATTTAATCTACTACTTATACCAAAATTAAATAAAAAATATTGTATTGACTAATTTAAAAACATTTTTATATTTAATATATATATAAGTATGAAGCACATTTAAATATATAAGAAATGTATAATGTCAACCATTAATGTTCTGACTATTGATATTAGATCTATGATGATAATATTTATTTATTTATAACCTCTTTGAATTAACAGCTGTCAAGGTCAAAGTTCAGTGACGTCACTCGATTTATTTACATGACGTGTTGTTCTAGTATATTCTCGAATAATAAATTCGTCGTAGCTATTCAAGTCATTACTACTACGTTACTTCACACTTAGACGAGATAAATTAATCCATTTTGTGTTATTTCAGTTAAAGTTTATTATTACGAGTTAATCTAAAAAAGTTTAATCGACAGTTTATATTTCAGTTAAACAAGTATTATTAAGTGGTCTTAAAATGCCGACCTCAGCATTCCGCACATTTGCCCGTTCATTTGGATCAAAAATGTAAGATTCTATTTCTAATTTAATATTTTTAGTTTATAAGTACTATTTAAATGTACCATTTATTTTTTTACATTTAAAATGCACTATTATTGCAATCAACTTATACGATAATAGAATCGCCAGGATTAAAAGTATACTGCTATACATAGTGATTGGTTTATCATAAACCACTTGATAACTCCCAAAATAAATAAAAAAAAAAATGTTTGGTTTTTGTGTTAAATCTATTTTTTGATTTATCAGTGATTAATTACTTTTTAATACCATCATATATATTTTATTGGGATGTCAAATTATTTTTTTCTAATGGCAACATAATTAATTAGTTAATTTAATTAATAATAAAAAATGGCCGGTCTATAAAAAACTTAGAGCGTGTAATTGGGATGTTATTAATTTTATAATGATAGCTAGAAATAAGATGAGGTAGTTATTATTTTTATCACTAGTTATTTTCCGTATGTAATCATCCTTCCCCTAGATATAAAAATAAGTTTAACTTCTGAAATACTGGTTTAAAATTTGTTTCAATCATTTTCTATTTTATAAGCTAGTTAAATTTATGTCATTAAAAATAAATAAATAAAGTTGGTAAAGACATAAGGAAGGAACATAAAATTAATTCATAACATAATTTTTGAGGGTAATGTCTTCGACTAGATACAATTTGTGATCTTTTGACGTATTTTTGAAAGAAATCGATTTGGTGAGAGCTGAGAAAAAGTGGTAACAGACAAAAAAAAAACACATCATAGTAAAACCAATACCTTCTCAGTTTTGCATCAAAGTTAATATATTGTACTACGTCACTATAGTTATTTAACTTTTACTTGTCAGAAAAACTTTTAATGTAAGAAAAATTAACTAGTTCTTTGTGTATTTATTAATACTTTGACAAATGCTTATTTATTTTGGTAATTTTCAACCTAATGTAGCAGTCAAATTTGGGATCATTGATATTATTGCTGCTATAGCTCTTATGTCATAAAATAAAATTTTTCTTACTAGTTCTATAACATTAATGTCTCCTACAGTAAAATGACATATTACTGCTATATCAGTAATGTCTGTCTAAATTACTAAAAGCAATTATATTGTTGAAAATAGTAATTTTTTTTATTATTAAATTTTAGTATCTTTAATTCTGTTTTTTAATTACAATTTATTTTTAAATTTGTTTTGCATTGAAATTTTTTATTTTAAGTAGACAGCGTATATTCTGGTCTTATAAATTGCAACATAATTAGGTATTATTATTTACTATAAAAACATCTATGTTTTTCACCCCTCTATGTTAGTATAATATTATTATATTTTTTACAGTGAAAAACCTATTCGTACACATTTAGTTAATGTGTATGCTTGCTTGACTCTTTCCATGGTTGCAGCTGCTGTTGGAGCGTATGTGCATGTGTTTACAAACTTTCTTAATGCTGGAATTCTAACAGCTCTTGGTGCAACTGGTTTGTTGTTGGCACTTATGTACACACAAGATAATGGAAAAAACCATTCACTTAGAATTGGTTATTTAGTTGGTTTTGCATTTTTTACAGGTTTGTTTTAAATTAAATCAATGCGTTTAATTATTTTCATTAAAACTTAAATAGTTTTTATTCTCTCAACCGAATAAAATCAGTAATAAATTTATAGGACTTAAGACCTCCATTAACATAATATTATGTTGACAAAAGGTACTGAGGGATGAATGTCTGAACTATGTTCACTCTATGTTCTGAAAGTTGACTTGAAACCCCCTAGAAATCCCTAAATACGCCACTGTGATTGATATAAATCTCCTATATACCATTTAAGAACAAAGTTATCAACTTTAATGGCATAATTATTAATCAATCTCTCAATACAGAGTGATTTTTTTTATAAGAAACCACTTAATTAACTGAAAAAATTTATTTATTTTTTTTATTGGTTTCTTATAGTTCTATTTTTTAATCAAATCCCTAATAATAAAGTATTTTTTTATGTTCATTGTTTATACCTTATAAGATATTAACTTTAATTTAAAAGAATTCATCCAGGGTTAGTATACATGTAAAGAAATTAAATATGATATGCATTTTAATATTAAATTTTTTTTTTATCATAGGATTAGGAATTGGTCCACTTTTAGAATATGTTATTCACGTTGATCCCAGTATTATACCAACAGCATTTTTAGCGTCTACTTTAGTGTTCACATCATTTAGCTTGTCTGCCATTTTTGCTGAACGCGGAAAATGGCTTTATTTAGGAGGCACTTTGATGTCATTATTATCAGTACTCATGTTAATGTCTCTTGCTAATTTATTCTTTGGTTCTGATCTTATTTTCAAAGTATGGACAGAAATATTTTGTGTATTTTATACATTGAATACTAATTATTTACAATATTATTTAGTCATATCTGTATCTTGGACTTGTATTAATGAGTGGCTTTGTATTGTATGATACTCAATTAATCATGGAAAAGAGAAGAGCTGGAGATAAAGATTTTATCGCTCATTCAGTTGATCTTTTTGTAGATTTTGTAGGCATGTTCAGAAGATTGCTTATCATTCTTGCTCAGAAGGTAAAATGTCTTGTATTTTTACTATTAATACTAAAATACTGTAGACATAGTATTTTTTAAAACGATGTTAATGTAATCATATTATTTTAGGAACAAGGATCAAAGAAACGCAAAGACTGAATGAATTGAACCCACACGTTTTATTTTTAACAATGGTAATTTACCAATGGGATGATAAAAAATAACTATATATATACTATTCAAAATAAAATAAAATTATATAAGTATAGAGGTTTATATTCTTAGTTATGTAATTAATTTTACAGTTTAATAATTATAACTGTAAATTTAAGACTAGATGTATAATCATTTATCTCATACAATAAACTTACCTTAAATCAAACTTGATTTTCGGTGTAGGCAATTTAGGTAAGATGTTGATTGTAGATATGTTAATTTATTTCTCTAAAACTCATTGTATGAAATATTTGTCACATAAAATTTTCTTACATTAAACATTAAAATGTAATGTTTTTTTTATTACCATTGTTTAAATTAAAAAAAAAAAAAAATTATGAATATATTTGTTTAATTTAATTATATCACAAAGTTCTTGTTAATGCTTGTACCCATTATCCATGAGTTTTTATAACAGAAGTAACATGTCAATTTAAATTAATTTAATTGTCAACAAACTGTTATCTCAAATGATGATTGAGTAATGCTCTCAAATTTTCACAATTTTACGAGTTGTCAGATAGATTTTATTACTCTAATATCAGCAATTTTTTTAAAACTTATAATTGCAAACTCGTAGATTAGTAGTGTTAAGTTTATAATTTTTATTACCCAAAGAAAATATAGATATTTATTTCTATCATAAATTAATCTTGAGAAAGTGAGTTGCTGTATTTAATCTATCATACTTATACATTAATGACTAAATCTCAACTAAATTAAACTAGAGTAATACTGTGTCAGAACATTCAATATATTTACTGGTAAAATATAAAGTGGTATAAGCCACATCTAAATTATAATAATGTTAATATCTACATGACACTCTACTCTTAAACAATGAACTATAATCAATACTTTCAATAAGATTACAGTTCTTCAATATTTATTATGTTTTTAAATTAATATGAAATGATAGTTTATTCTTTACTGATTTATGTACATAATGTTAAAAAATAATAGTAAATCACTAGTGTATCATTTGAAGAATTAACCAATTTTTTTTAATAACAATACTTATCAACTTAAAGTTATAATATTTTAATCATCATTTTAACACATTAAATGGATACTGGCACCAAAATCTTTGGTAGACAGTAGATCCGTAAATCCAATATTAACATAACTAAAATATTTTAATGTTAATATAGAATCAACTTTATTTTACATTGAAAACAAATTTTATAAAAAAAACGCATTTTGACGCTAATTTATTTAGATAACTAATTTGATATTAATACAATTTTTTATTGTGGAACATTGAGAATTAGGACACTTCAGACAAAGAAATAATGCAACATGTTAAAACTGTAGAAAACAAATTACATAGTCACAGAAATATTGTTCATAAGTTTTTATGAATATCTTATCATTTATTTACAAATATGAAAAACTCTAATAATAATTAATGTAAGTGTTGATGATCTTAATTTTTATTACATACTAATTTTTCTAGTTTAACCTAGAACTACACATACACAAAGCTTAATATTGTCAATAAGGAAGGTATAAAATAAAAAAAATGGATATCTAAAATTTAATTCTTCATTAATATGGACGATTTCGGTCTCCTCTTCTGTCACTAACAATCAAAATTAAAAAATTATAAACTATTTATAATTTACTAAACAATAACAAAATTATATTTTACTTTATAATAAAAAAAATTTATAACTACATCTATATACTTAAATAATCAAAATAGTTAACTTACTCTCGCATTGGTCCGCCTCCGCGTCCACCACCACCTCGGCCACCAGGCCCTCCTCTTCCTCCAAAACCTCTGCCACCACCGGGTCCCCCTCGACCTCCCATTCCTGGTCCACCGCGGCCTCCACCCATACCACCTCCACGTCCACCACGCATTGGAGGTCCACCACGACCACCTCCCATACCACCTCGTCTGCCACCACCATCACCATAACCTTCTGGTTTTGGTTCATTGCATCTGTTACAGTTTTGTCTCCATGAGAAGTTAGTATTGGCACAGGATGGATTAGTACATTTCCAATCTCCATCTCGTCCACCTGAATCATTTCCACCACCTCGGCCACCACGACCGCCACCACCCATGCGGTCATCTCTTCTGCGATCTGGAGGAGGCCCTCGATCATCTCTGCCTCCACCTCGGCCTCTTCCACCTCCTCCTCTACCACCTAAATATACAATATTTTCATTAATTCTTAATCTTAATCATGGTAGTAGTTTATTTTACCTAGGCATTAATTATCACAATTTATTTTGTATGTAAGCAGCATATATTTAAACTAGCTCATACTAAACAAATTGGAAAAAAGCATCCAAAATAGTAGAAATAGTCATTATTTAAACAACCAATGACTAGGTAAAAAATTAAAAATTAAAACTATAATATACAAATTTAATAAAAATCATTTGAACTTTAAAAATAATTTTTACATTTAACACTAATAACTAAATTATGCAGTTCCTTATTGTAAATGGCTCATGAATAAGATGATACAAGATATAATAATTAAAAAGTAACACTGCATTTGTTTTCCCATTTATATATATATATATATAAAGTCTAAAAAATGTGTATTTTAGTATGAAAATGAATATAATAGATATTTTAGTATTTCTTAAATCAAAACATTATCACTTATAATTAATAAAAAAATTATTAAAAAAGTTCATTTCATTATATTAAAACTGAATATTACCACGTTGCCCACCATAGTATCCGCCATCACCACCATCATCTCCTAACGAGTCATCTACATTGTGAAAACCACCACCATATCCTCCGCGACCTCCACCTCTGCTGCCTCCACGACCACCTCCTCCACCTCCACCTCCACCTCCACGGCCACCTTGCCAGTTATCTCTTTTTGTTGCTAATTGAACACTTATAGTAGATCCATTGAAAGATTTTCCTAGATTAAAAAGTCTTGTTTTAACATTAATGAATCAAAGATAAAACAAACACAAAAATTACCATTAAACCATGAGATAGCACTGTTGGCTGAATGAGCATCATCATATGTTACAGTAGCTTCTCCCTTAGGTCGTCCAGTTGCTTTATCATTGTACATCCAAATTTTGGGTTTTCCAGTTTTTTTATCCGTCTACCGATAAAAAGGTATATATAAATTAAAATCTATATATTTCATCCAAAGGACAAACATATGTATATAAATGAAGCAGTCATAGGTATAAAAGTGACATACTGGAATAAATGAGATAAGTGCAAAACTAAAAAATAGTCTCTTTAAAATGGCTTTAAGATAAAATTGGATTTTGTTTAAATTAAATGTTATTTATCATCAATTTCCCAAACCAATTGTATTGAGAAGATAGCATTTTTAAACTCAAATATCTCTGAATAATTTTTTTGTTCTTTTATCTATAAATGCCTCGTATATTTTAATTTTTTTTGTTTAATAATAATTTACTTTAATTATCCCAATAGAACCGAAATGTTGTTCAATTTCAGCTTCAGATGTATTTGAAGACATACCAGACACAAATATAGTATCTTCTTGGACAATGAAATCTCCACTTCTATCATTAGGTGGTGCTCCTCCTTAAGATTGAAAAACAAAATTAATTAAATAGAAATTAAATTTTTAAATTTAAGGGAACTTTAAAATTGTAAATTATAAAAACCAATAATGAAAGAAAACAACCTATAGAATTGTGAGACTTTAGTCGATAGTAGTATATATAAATTATACAACGAAACATACATATAAAAAATGTTTAACTTATTTATAGCAAAAACCATAAAAAATATTCACTATCAAGATTCATCATTTAATACTTTTTACGTACCATAAAACATAAAATTTGAGTGGCGTGCATGTAAAAGAAGCAGTGAACCAAAAGTTAACACAATTTATTTTTAATATTCAACTATTATAATATTTCAAGAACACTTTCATTTTTCCAAATTTTATTACTTGTGTATAGAAATGGTTTTTACACCCATGTTACAGTAAACTTGATACTTAGTGTTCTATTTACTTAGTGTGCTCCCATTACATATAACCAAAATTAAATTATTATATGCTGTAATTTTTTTTTTTTTTTTTAGTTCAACTCTAATACAAAAAGTATATTTATTTTCTACCTTTAGTTTGAAAAATACACATTTTAGAATACTTTATTTACATTTATTAATTTCATAAAATACAGGATTGTTTTATGTTATTTAAATTCATATATACCCTTTTAGTTCAACTAAAAATACACACCACAAAACACTTTTCCCTGACTTCATTTTATACTACACAAATACTTAACTATAAAAAATTTCATATTATTAATTATAAATAATACTAATTAGATCATAGTTTGGCATATTTGCTAAATGTATTTAACTCATTCATTTCTTTTTTGTTTGTTACATATAAATTAAATAATATAACTTCTAATAATTAAAATAAACCAATTTCATGAAAATTTAAGTATTCAATTACTAATTTTTTATATATATCAAAACATGTTTTGGCAGAGAACAATCATTCCGAAGAATTAAATATTTGTAGAAAGATGATGATCAATACATCAAATCAAACATGACAAAATTATCTATATCCATACATGGGTGATATTTAATAAACATATTTCTTAAAAATTATGAGAAAAATAATAATAAAAAAAAATATATCTCAGAAGATTAATGATTCTGAAGGACTGTCATCATAGAAGAATATCAATACATTAAAATAATATAATGTATTGATATCACTCTATGATCATTCAGTTCTTCAAAATCATTGTCCTCCCAAAATATGTTTTTTAATATTTTTTTCATTTGTGACTTTTTAAAGTGCAACCAAATTTTAAATATTTTTAATTTGTGGTAATTTTTACTTGATTGACTTTTTAATTTTATTATGGAATAACATATAACACAGAAAAAACCTCCCAATATCATTTTTTTAAGGTTATAGGAGGCTTATCATTAATAACTCGTCTAAAATATTTTTTTTTGGTCATTTAAATCAATGAACCAACCTAGTATTAAACAGTATGTTTATAACTATTTTATAATTTTTCACTTCTTCTTAATAATAAAAAATAAATAATGTGCAAAAAAATATACAGTATAATGCAAAACTATATAAATTATTTTTATTTATATAATAACATCACTTAACCCTGGAACGCTAGCGTACGTCAGACTGACATATTGTATGCGCGCCAATAACTTCCCCTTCTGTCCCTTCCCTCCTGCACCTCTATACCTTTTTAACGTGATTTGAATAAAGACTCTTTTAAAAATGATGATAAAATTGCTCGTTTTTATCGCAACTCACCCTATACTCACACAGTTAACAATAATATCTATCAAAGGAGTCAAATTGACGCATCACTAGTAAAATGCGCCTATAAGATATTGCTAGCGTTCCAGGTTTAAAAAAGAAATTTCCTATGTTAACTTGAATAAATTTGTTTTGATAATTATTAATGAAAAAATACTTATTTGAGTCAAAAAAAAATTATGACCCATAGATAATCTGTTTTCAAGAACAATAAAATTAAGTTTTTAATTGTAATTAAATAATATTAAGTTATGTTAAATACCTACAATTATATTTCAAGTCTTTATAAGACAATAATCAAAAATATTTCTCTTTATAATTACCAAAAGTACACAAACAATTTATTTAAGTCTTTAACCCCTTATATGAACAACTGCTAAATCCTTTTTGCACGCCACTAACCAATCAGTATAAATTTAATAAATATTACCACGGGCTATGTATGAGACAGATTCCAACAAATATATAGGTTCAGAAAAGTTACCTTGCAAAATAACTAATTAATCTTGTTTACAGCAAATGAGGAATTATATACTTAGTTACAGACTCATTTGAGCGCCTATGAACCATTTACTTAATATGTATATAAAGCACCACTTGATACTTGTGCTATTTACCTTTGTTAAAACCACCCCTGCCGCCAGAGCTAGAACAGAATAAATTGCATACACAATCAAAACACGATTACATGTATTACATTTAACATAATAACAATGATTTTGAAATTCAATTGTAAAATAAAATATAAGATATATTGAATAAACCTATAATTTCCTAAAATATAACATTTCTATTTTGCTTAACTTATAAATAAAATTATATTTCATACAAAACATAACCCTTATAAGTAATATAAGCAAAATTAATTTCTTCATTTTTAGATAATTACTATTTATATATTTTTAAAAATATGACTCATTTAGTAAGGAACAGTGTGACCAAGTCAGTAACATGGCAGTGTTTGATACGCACAGCTTCGGGTTCAAAATTCAGTCACGAGCTACTTCATTTGCCGAACGAGAGATCAGTTTAGTAATTGAGTCACCATACCTCTCTCCAGTGACGAATTAACCACCCGTTCTGGAGTATAAATGGTTAATAAACCTCCTTCTTTGAGGGAGGCTGTTATGGCCCATAATGGTCTGATAAAGCAATAATACAAAAAGCAATGACTTATTTAGTATCAGAAAATCTTAAGGTAAGAGTAGGAGTGCATCAAGGTTCTGTTTTAACCTCTTACTTATTTTCTATAGTGATGGATAAAATTTTTAGAAAAATACAAGGAAAGGTACCATGGTACATATTGTTCGCTGACAATATAGTGTCAATAGGAGAAAATAATGAAAAAATTAAAAAAAAACTAGAGATGTGGAGATCAGCTTTAGAAGAAAAAGGGATTAAGAATAAGTAGGAATAAGACAGAGTATATAGAGTACAAGTTTGACAAAGGACAACACGAGGTAGTTAAAATGAGATCAGTGACAATAAGTGAGGATGTCATAAATGAATAGTTTTAAGTATTTAGGATCAGTTGTGCAAAAGAATGGTGGAATTGACAAGAGTGTAAGAATGTAAGGACTATGTGCAGGTGGATAAAATGGAGAAAAGTTTCTGGTGTGTTATGAGATAAGAAAATTCTGATAAGACTAAAAGTTAAGTACTATAAGACTGTAATGAGATCTGCTATGATGTATGAATGTTGAGTAAGAAAATAGAGTAGAGATGAGAATGCTGATGTGAGGATAAATGATGTAGGGAATTGTCATGGGGAAGTTTATGATAAGGGTGGCTGACCTCAAGTAGTTAGGATTAAGACAAGGAAAAGAAGATAATAACATGACTCGATAAATCAAAAATTTTTTAGTTAAATAAATAAAATCTTAATAAAAATTTTTTTAATCAAAATGTAGTAAAATAAGCAAATGAATTATTAATATTATTTATTATTATTAAGAATAACAATTATGGAAAAATTACATTTCATAATTGTACAGTAAATTGTATGCTATTTATTTAATTAATATTAGAATTCTTAATAAGTTCAACACTTTTTCCTTACTAGCTGGTTAAAAAATTAACTCCAGTACTTGAAAAATAATCTGATAATGTTATTACATGGCAACTAATAGTAAAAATATAAATTCAACTATTTCAAATAAAAGAATCAAAACATTAAATATTAAAAAAAAAAAAACAATTGAATTTATTAATAATTGTTTTTTTCTTTATTATTGAATCAGTTGCATTGGATAATTTAACCAAAGATATTTATTGTATGAAAAATCAACAATTTTCAATATTAAAAAAACTTATTATATTAATATTAAATATAAAAAATAAAAATTTAGAAATGCCCGATAATAAACAATTTAAATAATATAAGTTTTTTTACTAAAAATTAACTTAAAACTACTAATTGTAAATCAAACTTAAGAGGGTTAAAATAAATTTACCATATAATTAAGCTTAATAATGTAAAATACTGCGTAAACACAGGAATTTTTTTTTTATTTCATTTAATTTATTAGCCATAAGCGATCTATTTTTATTATATTCATAATTGTAGTATAAAATATCATTTTTATTCTTGTACTTCCATAAATAAGACTTATCAACAATAGATCAAATAAGAAAACCTCATGTTATGTTATACATTAATAAAATTATATTTTTAAGTTCAACTATCTATTATTATCATTTATAATCAAATAAATGATTATAAACTATTTGTTTAACTTAAAAAATAAATAAATAAGTCGATCAAAATGCTTTGAGTGAATTTTAAAAAATATTGACAGTGCCAATTCATTTAATAATTGCGACATAATACAAATTATTTAATTTTGAAAACTATGGGGACTTAATCTAATTAATTGAATAATCAATTGACCTTAATTACATTTTATAGTTTTGATTTGATACAAAACAATATTCGAATTGGAGTAAAATGACTGCAGCATTTTGTACAATACTTTATCATAAAGGTATTTACTTAATGTAATACAAACTTTACACATGTTGTAATATTCTTTGGAAAGTGTAATAAAGAACTATTATATAGATAGACTAGATGGAAAAATAAAGTATGATTTTCATAATGGCAACATAAATCTTAAAATTATTAAACCAAAATAGTTTTAAATATGACATTTATTATTTTGAATATACATGTACTTAATGAATGAGTTATTTATAATAGGGAAATATGGAGCAAAATGATAACTGTACTTAAGAAATATTTAATTGTAATTATAAATTAAAAAGTTTTAAATAAATTTGATTTTTACACATATTATGTTCTTAAATAAATGATTACATTTTTCATTCAAATTATTTTTTCTTATATTATTATTTCTCTCCAATGACATTTAATCAAATAATAAATTAGATTTCAAATGGAAACTTTACTGAATTCAATGCAAGTTTAATTATTCTAATTAAATAAACTTAATCTAAAAATAGTCAATTGGAGCAAAATTTATTCATAAAATTTGTTTTACCTCAATAAACATGATTATAAAGTTAAGTATAACTAACATTTTAAATGTTATTTGTTATTTTTTATGAGAGTATTATAATAATTTATATGAAAAATTAATAATTTTGTTAAATTTTAATTTTTAAGTTAATATAATTATATTAAACTAAAATGAATATACACTTCAATAATTTTATAATTAATTTTTAATACTTTTAGTCACATTAATCATATTATATTGAGTAATTTGAGTAAAATAGTGTGGTTTTCAATTCTAGTTTAATTTTGCCTAAACTATGGGGCAAAAAGAAAATGTTCCAAGTTAAAAACATACTCTTAATTTATTATTAAAAATAGAATTTTGGTCACTTAAACTACATAACATTTGTGATTAAATGATGTTAATTTTACCAATTTTACCATGTTGTAAGTAATGGTTATTCAAACTTTGAGGTTTTTGTTTTACCTTATATTCCCCTACAGGTAAAAAAAATAAATCTCATAGTATTTTGGTACCTAATACTAAGTGTTTCTGTAAATAATTATTTTCTTGTTATTTAATGGTTTACTAAATAAAACTATCTCAACATTTATTCAATGATAAAATTCAACAACACTCATTTCTGTAAAATTATAATCCTCTAAAAAATTATATATTTTATAATCATAAAATATTAAACTAAATGTTACATAAAAACTTCTATTGTTAATTTCAAATCCTTTTTAAGATTTAACAAAAAATACCAAATGTTAAGTGTCTATTACTAGGTTACAAAATAACATGACAAAGTTAATATTAATTCAACAATTTATTTTTAATTTAAAATAAGTAGTTTAAATAGCCTAATTAATTAATTTAAGTTGTAAAAATGCCTAATTATATTCAAAAAAATCTAAATGGTTCTTATTTATGTAAAAGGCACTAAGATATATGTAAAATAACTTAAATTAAATACACAATACTTTACATTTTTGAAAAAAAAAAATATATATATTTTATAATTGTAAGGAAATTAGCACAATATCCAAGTGCATACATATAAATACATTGCTGTAGCTCACTACTATAACCTTAATGGGATAGTTTGACCTCTAGCATAGGGGTTGAGCACAAGACTAACAACCCAGCCTTATCAAAAATTTATTGTTATGATATAATAATTAAATCAGCATTGAACAAAGTGAAACGATTTATAAATTTGACATAGAAAAAGAACAATGTAGTTAAAGATAGCGACCGGAAATGCAATAACTCTCTTAAGAAGGTATATTATTCCAAATTATTAGGTATACAAGAAAATGGACGAGTAAAGAATAAATAAAAGTAAAGAAGTGTATAATATACTTCTCAGAAATGGAAGAGACACACACCAGTTTAGGTTTATATTTTCCGTATATGAGACCATACAATCATATATTATGGAATATAACCCAATATCAGAAAGATTTATACTAAAAATTGACACTGAACCTATAAATATTGCCTTGGATCATAACTGTGCACCACTGGTATGAGCAGACGAAAATATTAAGGATGCCTTCTATGAGGATCTGTCCCAAGGATATGACAAGTTGTCAGGGAATGCAAGATAGTATTGGGTATCTTAAATGCTAAATGTGGGGAGAAATGTATTTTCTCCCTGAAACTTATATTATTTAAGCCAGGAAAAAATGATAATAAGAAGCACAACATTTTCACTTAAGATAATTTATAAAGATAAATGGAAATCATTATATATTTTAAAAATTAAACAAATAAATCACATTTTCAACCAAAAAAATTCCGCTTATGTATTATAGACGTATGTAACTATAATAAAGCAGACTGTGATAAGAATCAATTCCTAGTTATAACAAAATTTAAACTAAAGTTACAGTCAAAAATAGCTGTAAAACAGAAAGAATATACTATATAATTTGAAGTGTTTGAAAAATAACAAGATTTAACAATATGCAGTAAGGATATGAAAATACATTGAAAATATTTAAAAAAAAGAAATGGAGAATGGCACAAAATAAGTAAAACCATTAAGGAGGTTATAAAACAAGTAATTAGTAGACTAAAACACATGAAGAAAAATGGTGTAATGATAAATGCCAATAAACAGTAAAAAAACTATGTATGTCCTAGGATTAGTACATGAAATAAAGAGAAAAAACTGCAATAGAATTATACAAAGCCTGGACGACTACCAGTAATACAGAAAGAAAACTAAAAATATTTGAAATTAAAATATGGAGAACAACTTGTAATTCTATTTATAACAGAATACATACATGGATTAAAAAATGTAATCGGTAACTTTAAGAGTTGGGACTGGTACCAATCAGTAGCTTAATGTGATTAGCAGATACAATAGCTTGATCACATAATTCGTAGAAATGAAGAATAGATGTTTAAAGTGGTGCTAGAATTGGAAGCTATATGAAAGAGACCACCCAAGCAGTCACAAAAGAAATGGATAGATACATTGAAAGAAGATATCAAGAAAAGAGAAATATGAGAATGGATAACGAGAAGTATGTAGATCTTTAAGAGTAATAAATGCCAACAGAAGAACAAATACAATTTTTAAACCTTATTTAAAATCAAGTAATTTAATATTAAGTTCATAATTATAATACTGTCTCATACATTTCAAGTAATCATTAACAATATTATCTATTTTTAAGGTAATATAAAATTTATATTTGTTAATCTATCTTATATAACAGAAGAACAATGAATCTGTCATAGCTATAACAATTTTTTATTGAGTATAAGTGAGGATTTACGCTAGTTTCCAAAAATACATTAATTAATTTTGATTAAAGAAAAATGATGTATTTCAATTAAGAATCAAACTATATGCTTTTCTTTGTAATTATAATATTTAAAATTTGATTGAATAACTTTCACTGGTTCAAAAGTTAACTCATTTTTAACTGTTAAACCTGCCTAAATCTATATTTGTTATATATTATCAACTGATAATATGAAAATAAAAAGTAATTAGTTAGTAAATTGATATAATAAATATTTCAAAAATAAATAATCTACTCATAAACTCATAAAGAACATTACCAAGATACAAAAATTATTTAGTATTTCTATATTTTAAACAACAAAATCAAAATTATAGTATCATAGTTAACTTTATTTCTAAGATAAATGGCTTTTGAATGTTATATTAATAATCAAGTTGATTCTACTCCTTTTAAAATAATTTTTTACATAAAATTAGACTGATTCTACAAATATTTTAGTAATTCTATCAAATATAACCTTTCACACAATAAAATCAACAAAAAAACACTTTCTTCCTTAACTAAATGTATCTAATGACTTTTAGGTGATATAACTTTAATTCAATTATAAGATTCATACATAAAGTAATTTTTCCTTATCATAAAATCCCAAGAAATACACAACACAGATTATTAAACATTTAATATTGGTCACATATGTAAGAATTAGCCAGAACTACTTTATTTTCTTTACCAAACAACTAAGCATTTAAAGCATAATTATCTTAGACATAAGATATATTTAAATATAAGTATCTTTTATCAACCACTATTATACTATTTCTCCAAGTAAAAATGCAAAAAAGCTAAAAAAAATTTTTTTTTTTGTGATATTCAGATATAAATGAATAAAAAAACAAAAGATTTCATTATAAGTAATTATTATCTATTATTATTATTATTATTATTATTAATATCTATTAGTTAAATGTTCATTGAGGTAGATAAAACCTTGACAACTAAAATGAAATCAAGGCAGGAATAAACTGATTTTTAAAAGTAACAACATATGACTAGTGGGCTGAAATAAAGAAGTTCTACCACCAATATTAAAATGTGTTAAAAAGATTGGAGCTCAAATAGAAAAATAGTATTTTTAGTGACTTCATTAATAAAATAAAAGAATTTTAGTAAGATTCATACTAGTCTTTATTTTACTAAGTAGGAGAACTTAGTTTTTGCATGAGCCTCACATAATAAATAAGGATACATTACCAAGAAAATTTTGGCTTATATTGGGTATCAAAACTACCAACTATTTAATTTTTCCCAATTCATAATTTTATAGTTCAATAAGATATAAAAAAACAACCAATAAATGAGATCAAACAGCTTTAGTTACTAGAAGCTTACAAATAGGTAACCAAATAGGATTGGTTATGGTAACTAGATAATATGAAATTTAACTTTTTCTACACTTAAGCTGTTTATCAATCATATATTATACCTTAAAAGGACAAAATTTATTCAACCAAATATTAACATAATAGATAGCTATCTAAGCCAATTAATGATTAACAAAATATAATTTATTACTTATAGAAAGTTCAAATTCAAGTAATTACTTTTATATTAAGTGAATATATAGAAACTTACTCATATCCACTGCCTCGATCTTGCCTGCTACCTATAATTTACAGTTGAGAATTTTAGTCTAAGTATATAATATAAACTATACATATACATATATATATATATATATATCTTACCACCAAAGCCACCAGGACCACCAAAACCACCAGATGGTGGACCACCATAACCATTTCCTCCACCAGAGCCATTGAATGATCCTTGTTGTCCTCCAGACTGCCTAAAACTAGGAGGTGGTTGTTCATAACCAGCATACCCACCTGCCCCTGCAAAATAATATTATTAATTTATGCTACTATTGTTATTAGATCTAATAGTATACTATTAATATATCAATAGAAAACGCTTAAAGAGAATTATGAATGTTCATTATAAACTGATAAGTTATAATAATGATTGTAAACTGATAAGTTATAAATTTATTTTATATTTTATTACAGATTGCAACTTTAGAACTAGCTACTAATTTTTATTTGTACTTAATGTAGTAACTAATTCTATGTAGATTAATCAGTTAGAAATATTAGTATGAAATTAAAGACTTTAATATATATGAAAATATTGCTAGCAAAAAAAAAAATGATTAAATATTAGTATACAGTACCAAAAAGTATTAAAAATTACCTTGCACTACACCAGAGGGTGGAGGAGGAGGTTGAGACCATCCAGCACCTCCTCCAGGATATCCTTGTGGTTGTTGTGTTTGTGGGGGTTGCGGCGCACCAGCTTGCTGATAGCTAGGTGGACCTGGTGGAGGAGCACCATAGGCTGGATAACCACCATATCCTCCTGCTACACCACCACCAGCTCCTCCGCCACCATATTGACCTGTAGAATATTCTGAAAAAAAAATGCCCAAATATAACGCGTTATTTCTAGAATGAGGAGAAAATAAAAATTTTAAGTAGACGTTAATAAGTGCCAAAGAGATTAACCTATAAATACTCGCGATTAATTTTATATTACTAGAAAAACTATTTCTTTAAAATACGTAATCAAAGCAGTAATAATACTACTACTAACAATTAAATATTCAGGTAATAACTCTAAACTTTCAAATGAATTATACTTACGTGGATTTGCCATAATCTTGTAGTAATTAACTAATATGATTTATTTTAAAAAGAAAAAGAGATTATTTAAATATTTAATGCAAATCAACACGAAAAACAATTAACGTTCAAGCGGAGTGTTTTAAAGTGACGCCGAGCACACGATAAAAGTCGGCGTACTATAATGCTAAATCCCAAAATGGCGTTTGTTTATGGTTAGAAATCGTAATTAGTAAATAGTACGGTTGGTAAGGCCGTATAACAAACAAGCAGCAAGAATAAGCGGCAACTGTGAAAGCGTATATGAGTATGACATCACCAGGGACGCTAAAAACATGGTAGCCAAATTAAATACAAATAAGGGAATTTTATTCAACTAAATGTTTCACTATCAGTTTTTAACGATTATCTTAAAATTTATCATCCACACTGATGGTAATCAGTGTCTTATTTGAAATTTCAAAATCGCTTACCAATCTTGTTTTAATATTTGTAAAAATATATTTTGAATAATTTTTAGCTTCGATGCGAAGCTGAGAAGGTATTAATTTTACTATGATGTGTTTTTTTTTTTTTAAGTCTGTTGCCACTTTTTCTCAGCTCTCACTGGACCGATTTCTTTCAAAAATACGTCAAAAGATCACAAATCGTATCTAGTTGGAGACATTACCCTTAAAAATTGAAAAAAATTCCCTCGTTCCCCGCAAATGGAGGAAATATCCAAAAAAAATTACTAATTTAAAAATCGGTAAATTTTGTCATTTTTTTCACTTTTTTTTCTTAAAACTTCCATAACTTTTTGAAAAATAAACAAATCAACATAATTTTTTTTCTACTAAAACCTTAGATATTTTCCTTTCATTTGATATCATTTTGTTGAAAATCTAACCCTTAACCTGCTCATGAGGGGGGATTTAAAATAGCAACTTTTTTACAAAAACTAACTTTTTCAACTTAATTTTTGAAAATGTTCCGGAAATACTGCGTCCTTTAAAGATATATCAAATTAAAGCTTATTTTATGTCCTATAAAATGAAAAAAAAAATTTGTCCCGACATCTTATCTTCTATGTACAAATGGCTGTCGAAAATTAAAAAAAAATGTAATGTTTGCNCCTATAAAATGAAAAAAAAAATTTGTCCCGACATCTTATCTTCTATGTACAAATGGCTGTAAAAAAATGTAATGTTTGCGATAAAAATCATCTTTTATCTGGATGTTTTTTGTACTTAAAACTGCCATAACTTTTTCAATAATGAACAAATAAAAATAATATTTTTTTGTATTGAAACCTTAGATATTTCCCTTTCATTTGATATAATTTTTTTTGAAAATCTAACACTTATTCTGCTCACTGGGGGGATTGATTTGAAATACTAACTTTTTTACAAAAAATAAATTTTTCAACTTAATTTTTGAAAATGTTCCGGAAATATTTTATGTACTATAAAATGAAGAAAAAAAATTTGTCCCGATGTACTATNACTATAAAATGAAGAAAAAAAATTTGTCCCGATGACCTATCTTCTATGCGCAAATGGCTACCGTATTCAAAAATATGCTATTTTAACAAATTTTTTTTTTTTTAATTAAACACTATCTACAGATTTGCATCGAAACGTTTTTTATGATAGTGATTTTAATCACTGTCAGATATCATCTATACTGGACCCAACTATGCCACGACCCCACTGTGCCTCAGAGTTATTTTGTTATATTTACCTTTTTGAAATACTAAATACTTTACATTTTTGAGCGCCTTATTTTGTGTACTTCATAATTATAGATAAGAACAAGAATATCGATATTCTTTAGAACTGTAATGTATTTTTAATTTGAATTCAAAATATTTGTTGAGTTAGACGTGGATTCTGAAAAATGTTTTTTAGGGGACTATTCTGATAGCGTGAAACTTTTTTTTTGTCAATAAAATTTTACAGAGGTCATTTATTATATATTATATATTTATATATATATTTATATATTATATATATATATTTATATATTATATATATATATTTATATAAAATAAATTTGTATACCCTTTTGCATTAAGACAGAAGGAGAAAAACTTATATGAAAATCTAATAAAGCCTAATTTTAAACAGCTATTTTAGTGTTTTAATAACTTCTTCTTTGGGTCTATTGGGAAAAAGGACCCAATAAAACCAATTCCTTAGGACTAACCCGTTCTAAGGGATCATCTCGTCTCACAATTAAACCTTCATTCTTCTCTGTTTAACACTAGATTCTTCCGAATAGATCCTTCTTCTAAAAGTTTCAAACTTGACCATTAACTTTTAAGTCCCAATTAAAAATATACAATTAATAATCAATAAAAATTGAGTGAAGTAAAGAAATGGGGTCGTGGCATAGTTGGGTGCAGTATAGATGATATCTGACAGTGATTAAAATCACTATCATAAAAAATGCTTCGATGCAAATCTGTAGATAGTGTTTAATTTATAAAAAAAAATTTTGTTAAAATAGTATATTTTTGAATACGGTAGCCTTTTGCGCATAGAAGATAGGTCGTCGGAACAAATTTTTTTTCTTCATTTTATAGCACATAAAATAAGCTTTAATTTGATATATGTTTAAAGGACGCAGTATTCCCGGAACATTTTCAAAAGTTCAGTTGAATAAGTTCTATGTTTTTTACAATATTTCAAGTTTTGAACGCCTTCTATATAAGGGGAATTTGTCCAATTTAAAAAAAAAAAGTATGTCAAATAAAAGATATACTTATAATATATTTAGAAAAAAAAAAATTGTGCTGATACATACATTTTTCGAAAAGTTATAGCATTTTTAAGTTGAAATCGAAAATTTTAACAAAAAATAGTGTTTTTTTTTAACTACGGCAGCCGTTTAAATGTAGAAGATAAAGTGTCGGGACAAATTTTTTTTTTTCATTTTATAGCACATAAAATAAGCTTAAATTTGATATATGTTTAAAGGACGCAGTATTTCCGGAATATTTTCAAAAATTAAGTTAAAAAAGTTAATTTTTGTAAAAAAGTTGCTATTTTAAATCCCTCCCAATGAGCAGGTTAAGTGATAGATTTTCAAAAAAATGATATCAAATGAAAGGAAAATATTTAAGGTTTTAGTATAAAAAAAAATTATGTTGATTTTTGAAAAAGTTATGGAAGTTTTAAGAAAAAAAAGACAAAATTTAACAATTTTTAAATTTGTAATTTATTTGGATATTTCTCCCATTTTCGGGAAACGAGGGAATTTTTTTCAATTTTTAAGGGTAATGTCTCCCCGGGCATGAGCTCCGCCGAGAGCACAACCGGTCCCTCGAACCCGAGGACCGGCTGGCGCTCAGGCGGATGACCATGCTCCGGTGGCGGACTCGCCTCTCGGAGGAAACGAGAGGCGAGTGGACCAGGTCCCTCATAGGACCCGATCGGCTGGACAGGTGGGTGGACCGGACTCACGGTGAGATGACTTATCGTCTCACCCAAGTGATGTCCGGCCACGGCTGCTTTAACGAGTACTTACACCGTATTCGTAAAGCAGCCGCGCCGACGTGCGACCACTGTTCGGATCGCCCGGGAGAGGCTGATAG